GAAACAGTGAATCTTCTATCAACAAAAAAAGTCAAATATTTGCTACTAAAAAGAATTTTACTTAAAAATAAGAAGTTTGTTTATTTTATCAAGAAAAAGAATCGTTCGAATTTGTACGGTGTTCGAAGAAAGATTTTCATGTTGATTTTTTTGTACGAGCATCTACACATTCCATAATGCAGGTGGCAATGTTCTCTTTTCTGCTCTTTCTCTTGTTTCAAGCAATGTTACAGTTTATTGCAAAAGAGAATACTAGTTTAAAGTATAGTTACAATCACTATAATTTTGATACATGTATCCATACAATTTGAATACTGTTTTAGGTACTGGATTATTAGATGTTGTTAGGTTTCTTTTTTAAGAAAATTTATTTGAATATTTTGAGTACTATCTTTACTTAAGTAAATGGATTGTCTATAATGATTCTACATTGCTTTAGTTTGAATAAAGAAAGACTAAAATTATCATATTGTTAGATTTAATTTATTCTAGCTTATAAATATACATGTGCTTCAACGAGGCTTAGAGAAAACTATGCTTTATCAAAGAACGTTTTACGCCCGATAAGAACAAGATTTGATTTTTAAATAGAAAAAAAACTAAACGGTCAATTTTTATTCCTTTTTTTTGACAAATTTTTTTTCTAAAATCCTTCTTGAATAATATAAAATAAAACTTTGTAAATTTAATCAAGTGTTCCATTTGTTTTATTGCTTCTGATGATGTAATTTTTAATTTAATAGTAGGAAATAGAAGAAATCTCGAATCTCTTGATTTGTTTTATACTTCAAAAGACTACAGATGAACTATCTAGTATTGAAAGTTGTATCTATAGAAGAATTTGTTGCTCTTTCGAAATTCACTGTTTTATTAATAATTCATAAAAAATCAAGTAATAAGCAGATATATTGTACAAGAATGAATATTGTGTTGGATATTCTGTGAAACATAACTCAAATCAAAAAGAAAATTTTTTTATGAACAACTAGATTTAGTTTTAATAAAAACAAGAATTTCTTCATTATTTCTTCTTTATCGTTTTGCTGAATATAGACATGACACAGAAAGAAGATAAAACAATAATAAAAGTTGAGATATTCTTGTTATCTAATTTTAATACTTTTAGATTAAAGAATCTTTTTCTAGGTGCCTATATTAAGTAAGATATAGTTCCAAAACATTAACTAAACATGTTTTATCATAAATAACAAAGAACATTTACTCACAATCAATACGATAGTAGAAGAATTCTATTGATTTCATAAAGTTATATTATTAATTTCAAAGGTATCAATGATCATTTTTGTATGTTCTCTCTTAGGTTAAGTTGACGTCTCTCCATGATTTTCAATAATGAAGCGCGTTTAAAAATAATCTATTAGTCGTTCAAAGCAAATACTAGAGACAACTTCTTTTTTACGCATACGTATTCTTTATTTGAGCACTTCTTTTGAAAGAAATGTTCGAAAACACATGACTATTGTTCCAAGTTTATTCAGGAAGCATCAATCCTAGTGAATAAGAAAGACAGTCCATTGCTAAAACCTTGTGATTTTTCTATAATAAAATGAGTTATAGAATTCTTTCCTTCATCGTATGTTCGAAGAGAGACTTCACGAAAATTTATTCACCAAAAATGAAGATAAAGTAATTTCTACATACGTTATCTTCTATTGATTTATATTTGAATTTCATAAAAATTCCAACACTCTTTAAGAATATACTATTGTTATTTTTATCGTACGTCTTTTATAATTCAATTGAGCGTATTATCACAGTTACAAATTAGGTTCGATCAAGCACATTTTACTATCAAATATACTCTTAGGGTGAAGTGTGGATCCATTTTTCTCTATACCCACATCTTAAAATAATAAATTTTCTTTTCACTGTTATTTTATATACTGAATATTTTCAAAAATTTCAGAAATATTGATTATCGACATTTCATCACAGAATCCATTTGCACATACGCTTCTAGTTTTTTTACTATGATAATATGTTCAATTAAATTAATTAGACGGTAATACATGCAGAAATTAGGATTATTTCCTTTAACATGTAACTCGAAAAGAATTGAAATGCAAAAAGTAGTAATAAAATGGGTCGAATTGCGACAAAAAATAATGATGAAAAACTGTTACAAATAATACCAGAAAATAGATCTACTAGCAAATGTTAAAATGATTTTTGCAAAACCAATTTTTGACATTATTTATGACCGTTTTTCAATTACAATCCGTGCCTGAGTTCATGAGAATAGTAGACTGTCATATTGATGTGTCTGTACTGACATTTTCTTCACTTCTATTTTTCTCTCTTCACCATTTTTATTGTTTATATATATAATTTTAGGAATATAAAGAAAGACAATGGTATCAGAATAGCACAAGAAAAAAAGATATTAAATAGTTTCGTAAATAATTAAACGATTATCGCATAGATCGTTATATTCTAAAGCCATACATCGTAGCGTTCCTCAGGACTCTAGGAGAAATACTATTTTGAAAGAATATTCCCCACAAGATTAATCAGAATGCTGAGATGTGTGCAAAAGAGTTTTGTTTTCTTTTATACTGAATAAATTTTTTCTATTCTATCCAATCATTACAGCATGAATAAAATTTATATTATTTCTTTCTTCATCTTATCGTCAAAATTAGAAGTGACCAGTAATGGGAACGATTTGATTTCCAATCGAATCGAGCCGAAATCGGTTCAGTTTCGAGTATCTGAAACCAATTTTTAGATCTATATTCTAATGTATTTTCTAACTTGTTCACTATAGTGAGTGAGGAAAATATATCTATGTTGCTCGATGACATATAGATAAATAAAATAATATCAATATTAGTTAATTCATCAATCACTTTATTTATCTCATTTCAAAAATATTTGACGCTTTCAGCCTCATTGAAAAAGTCATTATCAACATTGAATTTGCACAAAAGACAATTACGCATAATATACAGAATAATTTTTTTTTCTACACATTGCACAATTCAAAAGGTATTATCGAACAAAAAATGAAAATAAAAATCGTCTATGAATAGTGTGTAATTTTATCTCAGGTAACATTAGTATTGATGATGAACTTTTGAATGTAATTGAAAGTTTCATAATATTCTTGAATAAAACAAATAGAATGATTGATGAATTAGTTGATGTCGAAGAAACCATAGTAATTATTTGTAGTTCTATCAAATGCTTCAGAAATCTAGAGGTGTAAGTTAATAACTTTGTTCTTCTTTCAGTGCCAACTTTTCAATCCAGTGTTTTACTAAAAAAGCATTAACAAATTATCAGTGTGCATTAGTTATTTATTTACTAATTAAGTATCATTCTCTTTTGAGCTTGACAATAATCTTTAACACACAGTAACAAAATTAGACTAAATCATCCACCTAATGTTTCAAAATGGATGAATTTCCTGAGATTTTCAGATTGTTTCAAGTTTACTCAATCGTACTGTTTGTTACTCTTCGAAATTGAAAAAATGAAATAAAACTTAAAATTTTGATAAAATCGTCATAGTTCAAGAGGCAACTTTTTCCTTTTCAATAGTTGTGCTTAGCAATATCATCAGGTTATCATTTTCAAGTGCATCGTTAATCCAAAACGATAAACTAGAAAAGTACAGAAGAATGACTGTAATGTATACCATACAAGTTATTTCTGAAAACTTATATTATGTGAAGTTCAGAGAAAACATGAACCGATCATATCATAGGAAGTGACATAGATTCATTTTTCTATTTCTTGACTTAATATGTCTTGTGCTAAATTCTTTATCGTTTATAATTTTCTTATAGATCATAGTTTAGTGTTCGATTATACACATCTGATATAATCAACAACATAAATATCTTAACGTTTGATTTTTCTCAATGGCTATATTCAATTTAAGTCAACTACCGAATGAATTGATGCATCTGATCTTTTCTTACATGCGTAAATCGGACGCCATCTATGCCTTCTACGAGTTAAACGAACGATTTGCAACTGCTATACGATTCTTTGTAGGTGATTCGTTGGATTTAAGAAATGTTTCACCTGCTGTTACGATTTATGTTCTCAATCAATTCGGTTCAAAAATTCATCACTTGGCCTTAGGTGATCAATCGTTTGATATTTCGACTGGTCAAGATTATTTGACAAAATACTGGGTGAATTTAGAGACACTCAATATTTTCTGTACGACAACTCACCATGATATTCGCGATTACTTGGCATTTATACATCGAAAACTTGAATCATTCGCAGTTGCATTCAGATATGTAAGATCGAATATGAAACAAATGCTTCGAACAAGAGCGGATTGAGTATAGCTGTTAGTCAGAAAACTTATATTTCTTCGAGAAGATAGAATTTTATCATAAGTTTCCATCGAACGACTATAAAAGAATCATTTTTACCGTTTGATATTGTTCGTTCGAATTGAAGAAACTAAACATATTTGCATTGTCCACAGAAGCATCATTTAGAAAAAAGATTTTTTGATAAACAATACTCTATGCTTCTTCATCATATTAAAAAACAACAAGAAATTTTAAAAATCAATTTTTATTTTAGGGAAAATATTACTGTTCAACTGACAGAATTTCATATTATCTACCACCACAAATACAACCAAAATTCACTTATCATGAATTAGTGTTACATATAGCAAGTGATGAAGATGCGAATTTAAGTAGACTTCAATGGCATGAACAAAGTGTGGAAATGATCGACGGACTCTATCAAATCGAGAATCTATTTGGACATAAATTCTTAATATATCGAAAACAAGATAGTCGAATTTACCTTGGTGATGATGAACCACTTGAACAACGTATCTTTCGTCTCGAACATGTTCGATATCGTGAATATCGTTTAAGACATCATCAATCAAATAAAATTCTAAATATTTATCAACATTCATTAAATAACGAAGCACCACTTGTAACTGATTCTCAAACTGATCAGACATTCACATTTCAATATGTTAATGATTCTAATAAAGATTATTATATTTGGCCTGCTCATCAGCCACCAACACATCGAAGAAAAGTTCTTGACATTCACAATGATCCTTATGGTCATGCTAGACAAAATGGAGCACAAGTTCAATCGTACGATTTTCACGGTGGACTCAATCAACGTTTTCGTTTACATGCAATCAATCAAAACATTACTCAGCTAGCCAATAAAGTGTTCCAAGTTAATCTATGTGATACTTGATTTTAAATTATTTTTCTTGTAGATTGTTCAATGTAGAATCTCATACAGAAAATCTAATTAGAGGATGTACATTAGTGTTTGAAGCATTCATATATACATTCGATTTGTAAAATTAGTCGTTTTAAACGTAGATGATTTCCTTCATTGTATTGTGTCTATACTTAAATATTTCATCTTGATAGAAAAATAAAATGATTAAAATCTGAAACAAATCTTTTTTTTTTATCAAATACTAAGACCTCGACTAACACGGAAAGGAATGTAACGAAAAGTTATGTTGTGGTTAACTTCATATTTCTCATTTCTTACATATGAAGATAAGCAAATTGCTAAGAACTCGACGTTTGAGAGACGTATTATTGTTCTAAAACATCGGGATTACAATCAAAAACAAGTTTTCTTGGATATGTTTGGATCGTACAGACTTAATTATACAAAATTCTAATAAAAAAAAAATAATATAATGATACAGAATTTGAGTGTACTATATGAATCTTTTTGTGTTACATGATTAAACAACAGTTACTACAATTACTTCTTTGAGATTACGTTGTGATTTGTATTTTTGAATTTCCTGTTTAAAAGTATTTTTAATCAGTTTAATTATTAATGATGTAATACAGAAACAGCACAAAACAAGAATAAATATTTAGTGGTTTGTCATTAAATATTATTTATGAGACGGTCCACGAGAAAATCGAACATTTTTCAATAGGGTCATACTCTCGAAAATTTTGACCCCTATATTTTATGATTGGAAATGAAAGAGCAAAGTGAAAAACCTATAAATCCAAAATCTTAGCTCATTCTAACTTACCTTTGAAAAGTTATGAAGCACACACTGAATGCACCCTCAATAGGTTTTGAAAAATATTTTTGTTTTTCTTGCAAAATTTGGTATGTCAGTATTTGGTCATTATCTCCACAGTAAGTTATCATAATCTTTTCCAGTAATATACCATTTAATAGAGCAAAGTTCGCTCTACAAAACTGTGTATATCACCTTCTTCTTACTCTCCATTTTGTAAGTACAATAATCTCAAAATTAGATCGACCCTACTGTTTTTATTCGCATTTTTGCTTGTTCTCTTTCTCATTGCAAGCTGTATTTCTCTGCCAATTCTAACGGGCACAGAGATTTCTTTGCGGATTTTGATAGAGCGAAGAAAGAGCTATCCAATGAATATAAAATGATTGAAATCCAATTAGCACCACGGCTTCATATAAGCTATACAAGATATTCTACTACTGTATTCATCATCGCATTTTTCGACATTTTTCTAAAGAGATTGAGTCGATGATTCACTTCGATCTCGACTATTGCAATACATCCAACCTTCATTTTTTCAGCATAACTAGATGTTAGAATGTCCTCGAAAACTACTCGAACATGGCCTTTTTGAAAGCTTCCAAAATGTATTTAGGTAATATCACACCGATCTCGATAGGTCATTTCCATAGGGACTCGCAAGATGATTCACTTGGATCTCGACTATTGCAATACATCTCATCTCCATTTTTTCAGCATAAGTAGATGTTAGAATGCCGTTGCAAACTACCCGAACATGGCCTTTTGGAAAGCTTGTCAAATGTATTTTGCTAATATCACACCGATCCCGATAGGTCATTTCTATAGGGACTCGCAAGATGATTCGCTTGGATCTCGGCTATTGCAATACATCCCACCCCCATTTTTTGAGCATAAGTAGATGTTAGAATGCCCTTGCAAACTACCTGAACATGGTCGTTTTGAAAGCTTGCCAAATGTAGTTTAGTAATATCACACCGATCCCGATAGGTCATTTCTATTGGGAGTCGCAAGATGATTTACTTGGATGTCGACTATTGCAATACATCACAGGTGCATTTTTCAACATAAGTAAACCTTAGAATATCCTCGAAAACTACCTGAATATAGCCTTTCGAAGGGTTGCCTAATACATTTTGGTAATGGCACACTGATCTCGGTAGGTCGTTTTTATGGGAATTCGGAAGCTGATTCACTTCGATCTCCACTATTGCAACATATCCTGCCGCTATATTCAGCATAATTAGGCATAATTATATATTCGAAAAATGTCTGAAGAGTGACTTTGGAGTGGTTACAAAGTACCCTGTATTATAATGGTTCACAGATAACTATACGATGGAATATGGATTTTATGAATATCACTTATGCAGGTATGATGGAAGTGCTTTGTTTTTCTTGTTGT